TTCCAGCTCAGTATCCGTACAAAAGCTGAACAGAACTACACTGAGCATATATATCATTGGCAAATCAACATCTTCTTATCACTTAGCAGGCAAACTTTTCTTTCTTGAGTTCTTTTAAATGCTTCCTTTTTAAAGTAAATCTTGAGTTCTTCTCAAAAAGTTTATTCCTTGGTGCCTGAAGAGTATCCTTGCCAGAAGTCATTTGGTTGTGCATAATTAAGCTAGATAGTAATGCGGTCATGGAATATATGCTTGGTTACCTTCAAAGGTATCCTTTTTAATCAAGATGAAAAAAACAAGCTTGTTTACAAAGTTTACACATTTTTCAATCTATAAACCCCACAGTTGCTATTTCCCTTGAAATAGCACAGCGTTCAATAGCATAGTAAATTATGATAAAAAGTTAAAAGATAAATTTCAACCCTTAGGTTCCAGAACTGATTTATTGTGTCTTGCGTCTTTGATTTATTAAAAGCATGGTAATGATTAATATGCTCTACAAGAAATATAAAGGAATATTATAACCTAGATATTCACAATGCACACATATGTTTTTCATTCTCAATAATATTTTTATTTGAAACACCCTTGTTAAATGTCACCCAGGATTGTCAATATTGTTAACTTTGATTCCTAATGGCTTACGAACCTAATGGTTAAATCAATACCCTGAAACTTTCATATAACTTGACTAGGACTATTCCAATATGTAGCTTTTATATTTTCCATATCGAATTTGCCCCATAGTTATACTTTTTAGCTTCATCAAATAGTTTCTGATATAGGAGTCAGATGGAAATAAAAGTGCAGGGGGGGGGAAAGTAAAATTCAGCCTGGAAAGGTATTCAATGTATCATTTGGGGGTAGAAGTGGGAGGCTATACATTACTGTAATTTTTTTTTAACTATCCAAGGAAGCACTGACACTTACTAGAAAATAAATTGAAAGCTATAATACCATCACAACTTCCCCAAAAACTGATTCCCCAGTTTTAAATAAGACACTGGATATTGGAGCAAGTTTATCTAAGTCTCTTATTCCTGCAGATTGCCTCTGAAAGCAAATTAATTCCACAGAAATTTAGTTAGCCTGTATAACTAAAGAAAAGCTAGCCTTGAAAAGCTGGCAATAAAGAGTTTGTTGTTTCTTTTGTGAAAATGGGAAGAGATATCCTTTGTTGGAAAGGACATTGGGCACTGAAGAGGATCTACTGTCTATAGATCCATTAATTTTTTTGCAAGGACCTAGCTATATGGATTGCTGCAAACACTATGATAAAATTAATAAGCAAAACCTGTAAAGATTTTAATAGGGACTATTAAGTGCCAGTTGAAAGCATCCCTTGCCTCATTTGAAGGTTGAACCATTTATTTATTCATCGTGAATAAAATTTATATAGCCACGCATCTCAGAAACTGCACCTCTAAGCAATGTACAACAATCCAATAACAACAAATACAAAACCGGGCAATTTAAAAATATAAAATTCAGCATAAAGTAAAAATTATAAAAAAGCCAACCATACACAAAGGGAGGATAAGAATGGGCATGTAATAATAATGGAGCCCTGGGGACCTCAGACCTAATTACATAACTAGGTCTTGAGGGAGTTCTGGAATATCAAAGGAATGGAGTAAACTTAATTTCAGAAGGAAGAATGTTTCAAGCCAAGTCTAAGAATGGCATAGAATAAGTAAGAGTCTTACCAGACTAAACTTATATTACCTTCTGTCCAGCTATGGGATATGTTGTCTCTTGTCTCACTCCTCTCCTTGGAATGAGCTCCCTCCTTCACAACTGCCACTTCACTTAAGTCCATCACAATGCTTACCTCTTTATAGATATAATCGCCAGAGAATGTTCCATAAGGCAGGTGCCACAGCAGAGAATACGTATCTCCAGGGAGTCACCAAATTTAGGTTCCCACAGTAAAAGCAATCTTTTTTTGCACTGTACCACATTTCAGTCCATGAAAAAACATGTGGTTTGTATTTGAATAGAAAAAGAAGGGAACATAACAATTATAATGAGTTGAAAGCAACTGTGTTGTCCTGGAATATATTCTCCCATTCTCTTGGGAGTTTTTTCACCCAGTTGAGAATTCTAAGATAATGGTTTCCTTTTTTTCAAAAGTGCATCTTATGTTTGCCTTATATAATCCAATATTAATCTAGGCCTTACCATTTGATAAGCCTCTCATGTCAAATACACTTTCAATCACTGCAAGAGAGACGTTTTGTATAATTACACAAAAAAAAACCCTGTCTCTCTAGCATACGTCAATGAAGAAAACGTTACCCATGATCTGTGCACAGCAGTGCTCCCACATCTGCAAGAAAAATAGAAGTATTGTTGACTGATTGTTCCATGGGCAAGAGTTACAACTCTATGAGTTGAAGTAACTCAAACAGGAATAATAAATAAAAAAATAATTTCCCCAAAAGTACCTCTGCCTCTAATCAACAATGATCAAAGGCAGGACATGATAGAACTGGGGCTATCAGACAAATCCCAAAAGCGCTTTTTCCAAAAAGGCACTTTGGGACAGACAACCGGACTTTCTTGGTTTTTCTTTGAAAACTTTTCGCTTCTCATCCAAGAAGCTTCTTCAGTTCATGGTTGTCCCAAAGGTAGAAAAAGCATCTTTGAGACAACCACGGCCTGGATGATTGAGAATCTTCATAGATATCAGAAGAATCATTTTCTTTTTCCATATTAGCCTATCCAATGTTTAGATTTTTTGTTCTACAGTTAGGGATATTGATTTGATTGTGATCCAGATGAGGAGATACTCTACTGTGGCCTTCCCAATGGAAAATAATATTCCTTAGAGCATGGCAATTTCCCATTATGAAATGCTTCTGCCAAGAATCGAAGAACTATTTATTTAATTGGGCATTCAACCATATAAAAATGTTAGCAATTAAGATTTTATGGCTATTACCTTTTTTACTAGTGTATATTGTTGAACAATTTTATGTAAACAGTTTTGGGATTTAGGATGAAAATGATCCACGGTATTAGGGAAATATCATAATGTTCAGGAATACCCTGAGATTTGCAAAAGTATCCAAAATATTTCAAAAAGAATTTTAAAGTGCACATATACAAAAACACACTCATAGCCCTAAGTAAAATATTCTGCTGACAATTATAGGCACAGATTATCAAATGTTGAAATAGAAAAGCAAACAAGAAGTGAAAAAATATATTGGGGAGACAATGCTAGAGAAGGAGAGAAGCAGAATAGATGACAGACTGAAATGCCAGAGTAGGATCAAGATCTGTAAGGAGTCAAGAAACATTTTCTCAAAGGTTGCAAGGTTAACAATGTCTACCTGACAATGGATATACCCAGTGGTGGGATTCATCCAGTTCGCACCAGTTCGGCAGAACCAGTAGCTAATTTTTTGTTGCCCAGGCCCAGAATGGACTTCCAGAAGCGGCATCCACACAGAGAACTGGTTGTTCACATATTTGAATCCCACCACTGGATATACTAGTTCGGTAAACTCACATATCAGTTGCTTGAATTGTATATGCACTCCTACCATAAGTGTCACATATGCAGAAATGCCCTCCTTTTTCTTCAAAAGTTTCACCTAATTTATGTCTTACACTCGATAAGGTCCTTTACCTTACACAGATATAATCCTATCACATTCCTCTTAGACAAAATATTTTAAGATTTTGAGGTTATGACTTCAGTGTCAAGTCAATAGTTTTGAGTTCATTGATTATGAATTTAGGAAAAGCTCTATTATTTTCAAGACTTGCAGTTCACAACATGGAAAATTCTTGTTATGACACAGGTGGTTAAGGCAAGGCAGGCCTCTAGAGAGTTCTTTATTTCTCTTAACAAATAGTCTAGCCAACGGCTCTCCAACAACCGGCAAGTCTCCACACTAACGCTACCCTGAAAGCAGCCACCCTCAGTCCCCCAAACAACAGCCCCTATAGTACAAAGATTAAGGAGCACACTCACAGAGCAAAGTCTAGGGTTCCAAGTCCAATCCACCAGGCAGGGTCCAGGCACAAGACCAGGGCAGTTTTCAGGACAAGAAACAGTTCCCAGAAAAGAAGCAATTCCAAAGCTCCAGTGAAGCAAAGGCCAAAGTAGGCCACAAGAGAAGGGCGAGGCCCAAAACAAAATTTGAAGAGCAATCTTCCAAGTGAGGCAAGGCAAAGAGCAACAGACAAGAGTAAAAGCTGGGGGAGTGTAAGCCAAAGCAAACATTCATTCCTGACAAAGACTAATTGCCCATGGCTTTTCCTTAAGTTATTCCCCTCCAGATGTTCCTTATGAGGAGGGGTGGGTTGACTTCCTCCCGAGTAGTCGTGCAGACCTTTTCTGGGCTTGCCTACACTCCACTCTCCTTGCACTTGGATTGAGAGGAGCAGGCAGGTGTTTGTCATCAGAGGAGATTGGCTGCCTATCAGCACCACTTCCAGTCAGCAGCCGATCCTCCCCGGTGTCTGTGCAGGCAGGCAGCTCTCCATCTGGTCAACCATCTCCCCCAATGCCCGAAAGGCATTGTCCTCAGCCCCTGGTATGCCTTCCCTTTTGGACGGTCCTAGCTCCAACTCTTCCTTCTCCTCTTCCCCCGAACCAGCCTCTGAGGGGGCTGTGACAATTCTGTAGATCTCTTTCATTGTATAAAAATTTTGCCAGACATGTTCTCTTCATTCTAGAATCTCCATGAATACCATGTTTTATTTTTTTTTAATTTATTCGCCTGCTGTATTTAATGGCAAATCTGAACTCACTGATGGCAAACAGGTGGGAGATTCAGCTTTATCAGGCTTTTGAACATTCTAGTCACATTCTACTTACATTCAAGTAAATATCAACAATGCCCTGCAAAATACTTAGCACTTCCTGAGGGTCAATAAGCTGAATGATTTATGCCAGTGATGGCGAACCTTTTAGAGACCAAGTGCCCATTTTGGAAGGAGGGAAATCATTTTAACAGAAAGCAAATCATTTTGTTTATTTACAGATGATAATGAATGTGCAAATGCCACACAACTTTGTGGAGAAAAGGCAAACTGTACAAATACTATGGGAAGCTACTTCTGCATGTGCAAAGATGGATACAAATCTAGTAATGGGAACACAAGCTTTGTAACCAATGATGGTACTTCTTGTAGAGGTAAGATCCCAAGAGATATTCTGTTCATTTACTGATATTTTATTCCTTAACCATTATGTCCCTTTCTGCCTGTTGTTAATTTACTTAAATACTAAGTAAAATATTAAGTGCTTGTTACATGTAACAAATACTTAATACTTTACATGGTATTTAATTTTGTATATAACCTTGAAGAAATTTATTTTGCATTAGGGGAAGGAATATGATACTTTTCTTTTACTTTTCCAGTCCAGGAAATAATAAATCAGTTTATTTTGGGGGCAAATATAAAATCCTCTGTTGATGTTATCTTGTTTAAGTAACATCACTTTAAAGTAAAGAGATGTGACTTGAACAAAATAATATCAACACAGGGATTTTATACTTGCCCCCAAAATAAACTGATTTATTATTTCTAGGACTGGAAAAGTCCTGAAAAAGTATTTTCCCAAGTGAAATAAATTTCTGTGCAGTTATATGTTTTTCTTATGTAAATTCTACTGTATTCACTGAAGTATGGGGGATTAAAAATTTGATTCCCTAAATATTTTCATGTTAGGCCAATTACATACCTCAATATACATTTTGTTTTTCACAGTTTAAAAACAGTATTGAATTAAACCAAGCTCAGGGGCCACTGAGAATGCCCTTTGCTTTATGGCATATGCCCAAGCAGTGGTATGTTTTGTCGTATGACTTACATTTTTACATAGCTAATGATAGAGCTCTCCCCCCCTCTCTCTGCCATGAAAAGCCAACTGGGTGATTTTGGGCCAGTCATTCTCTTAGCCCCAACCTACCTCACAGGGTTGTTTTTGTAGGGAAAATAGGAAGAGGAAGGTGTGTTGGATATGTTTGCTACCTTGTGTTATTTGTAAAATAATAAAGGTATAATACAAATAAATAAATAAAATTTTAATTATAGAATTTGTATGTGGGAAGCCCCCTCCCCAGAGAATGAAATATTTGGGGGGATATTAAAAGAGGCAGAATATTATATTTCCCCTAAAGGAGAAGAGGAGAAACATGTTCTTAAAGGCAGAAAGCAGCCCCAGTCTTTCTGCTATAGGAAAACAGCCTCAAGCAGAAGAATGAAGAGGCCAGTCTTTAGAAGATTTTGAATCCATTCAGAAAGATTGGGCCACTCTATTCATAAGCAAAGAGCAAAGAGAGACTCCAAATAAGCAACACAGTTAGGCAAGTTGACAAGAGTAGCTCAGATAAACAGCTACGATTTGCATTTCCCCTTTTGCCTGTAGAGCCAGCCATGATCCCTACATGACCCCATAGGAATCTGGCAACAGCCATTAGAATATTAAAGGACATGTTCTTGCACAGGAACAGGTATCTCAATCACGAGGCCCCAAACAATGTATAAAAGCCCACTCATCTCAAACCCATTTTGACAGCCATCCCAGAAACATGCTGCTGCCATTTTAGTTTCTGGTTACCAAATAAACAGAGACCTTCTTTCCTGCAGCCTCCATTTTGTTTTCAGCATCTTTCTCCCGGCTTGGAATCAGATCTTATTTTCTTCCCACAATCCCATATGTAGAAAACTCTAAATTCTGTAACCCTTAACTTCGTAAAACAGTGCATAATAAGGCAACAAATTTTGAACCAAGGTATCTCAAATGAGCTAATTTATAGGATGCATCTAGAATCCAGGAACCATACCTCCTGAGAGAAGGAAATTTGAGGAAGTTGCAGCTGCTTCAGCACTGCTTGACTACTGCTACTGTTGCTGCTCCTGCTGCAATCACAATACTCATGTTTAACAGGAAGGAAGGAAGGAAGGAAGGAAGGAAGGAAGGAAGGAAGGAAGGAAGGAAGGAAGGAAGGAAGGAAGGAAGGAAGGAAGGTTTTCATGTCTCTTTTTCTTTCTCTCTTTCTCTCTCTCTAGTTTATCCAAATTTTTCAGCAGCTTTGTAGTTCAGTACATAAAAAAATTAATTTATCCTATTATCATGCAGAAGAGTTAACATTTCCAGTTTCTCAGAAGTTTTGTTAAATGAGGCCATGCTTATATAAGATGGACTTTTATGAAACCAAATTTTATAAATATAACTAAACATAAACACATCCACGTAATGTTATATTGTTTTCTCCAAAGTAATATTATCAAAATATTCTAAGATCCCACATAGCAGATTCCTAAGAACTCCCATGCTAATTTAACTTTTTAAAACTATAACTCACATTTTTTCAGGAGTTCTTAATGTTGGAAGGTTGTGAGATTGTAGAGCAGCCTCTGAAGGCTCATTTGACTATCAAGACTCAGAGATCTCCAAAGGTTCTTACCAAACTTATCTATTTATTGAACATCCATCCTATCAAAATATTATAATTCTTGGCAGCTCCCAATATATGCAAGGAAAAAAGATAAGAGGTTCTTCTATCCTATGCATTCATCTGAATTCAGATCACAAATTCTTTCCCATTAACAATTCAAATAGAGGTAATGATAAACTTTATATTACAGTGTGCTATTTTAATTGTTGATTATTTAATTGATATGCTGCCACATCTTATCAATTCCCAAGAGGTTACAGTAATTTAAAAGGCAGCAAAAGTAAAATGTCCACAGTAAAGTACGATATAAAAAGATTTAGCATAATAAAACCAGCACAAATCTCAGTTCACCCTCGGACATTATCCGAAGCAATTCAGTTTCCTAACTAATGGAAGGCTGCTACAAATGACATCAGTTGTGTACCTTATGAGAAGTTGTTCCAAATCACCACAGCATCACCGAAAAATAGTTTCCTTGGCCTCAGTGCTCTTTGGTCCCCAATGGGATAGCACAAATCATTCAATGCTGACACATACATACAGGTAATCCTCGAACAGTATATAGGTAGTCCTTGACTTACAACCACAACTGAGCCCAAAATTTATGTTACTAAGTGAGACATTTGTTAAATGACTTTTGTCCCATTTTACAACCTTTATTGTCACCGTTGTTAAATGAATCACTGCAGTTGTCAAGTTAGTAACACAGTTATTAAGTGAATCTGGCTTCCCCATTGATTTTGCTTGGCAGAAGGTCACAAAAAGTGATCACGTAACCCCAGGTCACTGCAACCATCATAAATATGAGTCAGCTGCCAAATGTCTGGATTTTGATCATGTGACCATGGGGAGGCTGCAATGGTCATAAGTGTGAAAAACGGTCACAAGTCATTTTTTCAGTGCTGTTGTAACTTGGAATGGTCACTAAATGAACTGTTGTAAGTTGAGTAGCACCTGTATTAATATCAATTCATATTTAAATATATTTAATATAAATCAATATTAATGCCATTAAAGTTAAAACTAGTAAACATTTGGAAGGGATGAACTTTCTGAGCTTTAATGGAGCTTTAATTATCTAGGTTAAACTATACACCAACTGATAAGTGATAAAAATTACATCAATATTCAATAGATTAATTTGAACTGGTTTCCAAAGATAATCATAAATAATCTCAGACCTATCAAATCAATTGTGGAATAATGCAACTAGTTTTTTTTCCCTGGCAGTATAATATCTTTGGCCAGTCTACTGCAAGTATACACAGAACTACAAAGTAATTGTGGTGCATGTTCATGTTTTGATTGTTAATAAATCCATATCATATTATCCAATTGTATTATTACAAAAGCCTCGCTTGCATTGTCCACCAGCAATAAATCCTTGAACTGCATTTTGAGTTTTTTAAAAAAAATTCTGAATGATACCTTGAAAAATACTTATAAATGATTCACATTCATAATTAACCTCTGTCTTTTGCACTGATAATTTTGAGCTATGGTGAATTATTCATGTCAAATTCTGCACAGTGTTTATTATGTTTTAGAGGGAAAGTGCTGCTAATATTAATGTATGCATTAATTTTTAATATTCTATTTATAACTGCCTTTTTAAACCTGACTGGTTTGCAGTATATTATTTTGTCAATCACATCAAAAATCCCTGTAGCCTGGTTTAGGTCCATCCCTGGAGAAGCAGCTATATAGTTTTATGGGATGCATTTAGGACACAGCCTCCTGTATGCAACTAATATGAAGAAAAAAACAGTTTTGATAATGAGATTGGTCCCTAGCTGATCTTTGCAACCATGATGAAAATGGAAAAACTTGCAATTGGTCTTTTGTGTAAGTTTATGTCTGTCTGTGTATATTTGATAAACTTGATTTTTTTTAACGCACGTGTACCATATACATTTTAGTAAAGCAGTTCACCTTGCTTAAAGATTCCAAAACTACAGTTGTTATTCTGTATGGAAACTTATTTTATCAATAGCTGAAGTAAAAAAAAATGCTAACCAATAAAAGAAATAGGACATTCTGTGTAGCACTCTAACTTTGCACTCTATATTGTATACAGCAGCATAGAAGGGATTAAGCATGGGAAAAACACTTGGTAGAATTCAGAATTATTGTCCCAAATACTAAATGAAGACAAGCAGTATAAGAAATCCTTACTGGCACTACAGTGGAAAGTGAAATGACAGCATGGTGTATTGGATTTGAAATAAGGAGATCCAGGTTTAAGTCTCAGCTCTATACAGAGGGCACCGGACAACCATTAACAGTTTCTTAGACCAACTTACCTGTAACACGAATGGATCTAATAAGCTGCCTTGAATGTTGAAAGAGCTGACGTTAAACTTAATAAACAGATAATTATGACCCAGTGACACTTCTGCACTTTAGTAAAGAGTAGAAGAAATCACCAAAAGATAATTGGGAAGTGATTTCAGAAAACGTCAAAGGCTTTAAATAGATGCAGAAGTTCACAACCATGACAGCTTAACAATATCAATTGCTGTCTTTAATCAAGACTTCGCATCATTGATTGTAGCCCAGATAATCCTTAGATGATATTCTAGAATCATGTTCCAATTTTCAAAGTGTCGTGTTTAATGTATTTAATAAACATCATTCAGAAGCAATTCACTCAGAAATTTGAATGTGGTTCCCAACTGTATAGGGAAGAGAAAATATTTTATATCATCCAGCATTAATATCATCTTAGTGATTAGCCCAAAGCAGGTGAAAAAGGTGTATACTAAGGTCCACCATTCTTTGCATAAAGGAAAAATAAGTCATATAAACCATAAATGTTCAAATACATTGCAGGTTCTTATAGATAACCATATTAATTTATCTTTTTACAATTAAACCTCGCATTTTTCAGTACTTCTCAGTGTTGGGAAGCTTTCAGTTCAGACCATCTGAGGCCTCAGAGCTTTATGTGGCTGTCAAAAGCTTTAGGCACAAAACTGAGAAATCTCTGAAAGTTGTTACCAAATTTAATTAGTTATTGGATTTATATCTCACTTCAATCTCTTGGCAATTTACGGTATATGGATGGGGGAAATGAGTCCATAGTATGATTTAAAAAAAAACTAAATCATAAAATCAACAATCACATAGCAATAAAAAACAAAAGACGGGCAGTAAATCAGAGGTATCAAACACACAACCTGCTAAATACCTGCTGACCATAACACTCCCAAGTGTGACCTAAACCAAATTAAACTACAATGGGGAAATTTAACAAAATGAATTTTAAAAATTATAATGAAACATGTATAATTATAGTAAGCAAAGGACAGTCGTTTATCCAAAAGCTATCCTTTAGATTTATTTTTTAACAACTCACTTTTGACCTTTCTTCTGGATTTGTTTTTTCACTTTTACTGTACAAATGATACACTTAATTCACAGCCTTTCACACATTCGTGTGAAAAATATAGAACTGAATTGTCTCGTTAAAATTAATTTATATATACTGTTTCAGATGTTTATTATTAGAATATGCATTTTGTATGCTTTCTTTATTTTGTTATCGAATTTCCTTTTGGAAAGCTAAGTTATAAACATAAACAATATAAAATGTGGTAACCGTAAGCATAATAGTATGTTTTAAAACTTGATATTTATTTGAATTAAATAAATAAGTTCATAGCTTCTTTTCTTGTAAATGGAAAAGAAAATAGAGCCAGTTTGCACTTCATAAGACTATACATCTATCTATTATTTCCTTTTTATACAGCTACACATTATATGGATTCCTGGCCCAATGCATTAAAACCAGAAGAAGTCATCAGGATAATGATCTCAAATAATGCAGGCACAATGTTACACTAAAAGCATAACATCATTAATTAAATTACTCCATTATAAACACAATTATAGGCAAACCAATTACAGTGCTTAACCTTCAGAACAACTCTATTTTAGTTGCTTTTCTGAAAGAGAGGGTTGATATTCTACAGTACATTGTCATGTGGATTTGAAATTTCAGCCGACATAGTAGAAGTTTTAGATTCAGGTATAATAAATTAAACGTGTGCTCATTATTGCTCTTTGCTCATGGGTTTTGTAGAAAATCTGTTGTAGATCTATATTTCAAGCTTTACCCTTGAGCTCATAATAATCCGATTGAATTAGCATGTGTTAGATGTCTTTGATAAAAATGAACATGCAGGCAGGGTATAGGCCTTCCTCAAATCCACTGTGATTTTGCTGAATGCCTGCTTGGGGGCCTCCGTGTAAACAGGGATTTCTTCCCCCCTCCCAGAAATTTGTAACCTAGAACATCATGGTTGCCCATTTCATTGAAATATTTCCATACATATATCTGAACACCATGCAAATATGTAACTTCTATTCCCCAATGTGTGCTCATTCGCTATGGATATGAAAACAGATTTACTATTTAACACGCAGGAGGAAAGTGTTACAAACATATTGGGAGTCTTTTTTTCTTTAAAAGAATAGCTGAATCCAGGCTTTTATAATTAATCTCTATGCTTTTATTTAAGATTTTCTCTCCCGTCTTATTTTCCCTGTCATATTTTCATTCCATCTTATTCTAGTTTATTCTGGCTTTTCTTTGTGCAATCCACTTCCTGGTTCACCTTTTCTCAATGCACAGAGGCTGTGTTTCAGACCTCCGTGTTTGTGATGAGCTCCTCACCTAAATCTTTCAATATCTATTGTACCTAAACAGATGCTGAATTTTTTGGCACTTATTAAATCTTTCTGATATAAAAGGACATTCCATTCTACTACAGTTTTGTGTATCTCTGGAATTGTAATTTAGTCTGTAGTCCTAATTCCTTGGTTTCACTCCTACAGGTAGAAACTATTTATCTGCACATCTTCCACTAAGGTAGTCATTCTCAGTTTATTAGGTTTAGTACATACAAGTAGTCCTCGACGTATGACTGCAATTGAGCCCAAAATTTCTGTTGTTAAGTGAGACATTTGTTAAGTGAGTTTTGCCCCATTTTACAACTTTTCTTGGCTCAGTTGTTAAATGAATCACCACAGTACATAATTTAGTAACATGGTTGTAAAGTGAATCTGGATTTCCCCTTGACTTTGCTCGTCAGAAGATCACAAAAAATGATCATATGACCTTGGGACACTGCAACGGTCACAAATATGAACCAGTTGCCAAGCATGTGAATTTCAATCAAATGATCACGGGGATGTTGCAAAGGAGGTAACTGTGAAAAACTGTCATAAGTCATTTTTTTCAGTGCCGTTGTAATTTTGAACTGTCACTAGTGACTAGGTAAACTGCAAGCAGTAAGTTGAGGACCGTAGATTGTGGGATATTTCTCTTTCCTCCAGTATTTCTTTGGCCAAAGTAATATAGGAAGGTTCCAAGGCAAGAGTTATACCAATGTAGGTAGAAATAGCCAAACCTTTATGATGAATCTTAAAAGTCATCAAAACAACATTGGAAAGTGAAAAATGTATGGTAGAATAGTAGCTAACACCTGAATAAATTTAGCAATCTGAAAGAACTGTATCACAAATTATGTTCAGACTGAATTTCAGTAGATCAAAAAGTTCTTCTTCTTATCCAAGTCTGATGAGTAAGAAATTCTCATTTGGATGGGGGGGGTTGTATCTTCTCTCTTCCTCTTTGCTTCCCTTTCACTATTTTAGAATGCCCATGGCCCCACAATGACTCAGGGTTCTCCTGATACAAATGCTTCTGGAACCCCAATGTGTTTCACATTGGAATCCATTATTATTTAATTAATTAGTTACTCAGTTATTTAATATCCCACTTGTATTATTTTTATAAATAATTCAGCAACCAAGAGGCTTGTTTTTCAACTGGACAGTAGGATAGCAAGACTATAGAGGTTTATTGATCATTGGTGATGTTGGAGAAGGCTCCTGAAAGTATTGTGGATCACCAAGAAAATAAACAAAGAGAAGAGAAGAGAAGAGAAGAGAAGAGAAGAGAAGAGAAGAGAAGAGAAGAGAAGAGAAGAGAAGCAAGATAGATAGTTAAGTTGCAATGCGTGCACCTTTAGATAACCTATAAGACCAGGTTAGGATAGATCATCATGGAGGAAATTTATCTAAGTGATTGCTAAGAGTTGACAACTTGATGGCACATAATCAATTTTCAGCTAGACCATTGAGTAAAAATAACTGAACCAAGATCACCTAATTAGTTGCTGGGCCTAAAGAGTGTGAGTCTCCCTGTTTTTGTCCATCACCTTAAACACTACACCACACTGGTTCTATTCTATTCTATTCTATTCTATTCTAGTCTAGTCTAGTCTAGTCTAGTCTAGTCTAGTCTAGTCTAGTCTAGTCTTCCAATCTATGCCAAAAAGAAAAGGGGAAACATTTTTCAGAGGGAATGAAAGATATACCATATAAAAATTGCACAAGCTCCACTCATTACCAGATATTTTAATAGTTTTATTTATCATTCTAATAAAAACAAAGCAGATCACATAAACCTGAAGTTGGTCCACCGTGGCCTATATATATATTTGTCAAGGTGACCTGGATTGCACTAAGGAAAAGCATTGCATTAAATTGAATGCAAAACTTTTGATCCATTTGAAATGGGAAGGAAAGCTGTTTTACTTATTTCAGATAGTTCAACATGAATAATTCACATTCTGCTATTACAATAATTAATATGCACCAATTTCAAAACATGAAAAGGTATAAATTAATAGTAAGATATCAAATCTTGCTAACCGTTATACAATTTCAATGTCAAGAATTCTTACTTTAGAAAAAAAGTATAAATGGGAATTCAAGTATCCAAGGTTAAAGGATAAGCTTAGTTTGGTACTTTTCTTGCTTATAATTTAGTTGGGGGGGAAGCTTTTAATGGAACTTTCAACTGAACGTGAAATATATAATAAAGAATAAAGATATTGTGACTCTTTGTGAAGGGCATTTCATTCATGCAAGAAAACTTTGTGTATCACAAACAAACTGAAATTAGAGTCCAGTTTACAATTAACAGACAAGTACTTTCCAAACAGGTATATGAGGCATAGCACCATCTCAGTTTCCTAAACTAAGTACTGCTTGCAACAATCTTGAGCTTGAATTATAATGGCATGCATGTTTTCATGCTAGTTGGATGAAGAGTTTAGTTTTCTTAAAATTATTTTTTTTAAGAATCACTGTATATAGGAAGTATGGATATGTTGTTGATTTGCTATCAAAACAGCAACAACGTGTTCGTATGTATAAGCTTTTTTTTAAAAAAATCAATTTCTCTCATAATTTACAGATATAGATGAGTGCAGTGAACTGGGAACCGATGCCTGTGGAGATCATGCACAATGTGAGAATATGGATGGAGGATACAGCTGCACCTGTAACGAAGGTTATCAACCATCCACAGGAAAATTACCATTTAAACCAAATGATGGCACTTCCTGCCAAGGTAAATGATATTATGGTTTATCTGTTATTATAGAAGTGTGTCTTCTGAGAGGCCCACCTAAATCTGTCTTGCTTAGATTAATCAGCTGGATATAAAAATGTAGCAATGCATGAATACTCAGATTTATATATATTTTTTTAAAAAATGTATGGTTGCCTGTTGAAATACAGAAGTCATTTACCTGCATACAGTGAAAGTTAAGTGGATCTCAACAGTACTGGCTTCACCTGCAAGAGATCAAATTCCTGCAGTGATTTACATGTGGATAATCATGCAATTATGCAAATGTCACAAATGGCCTCTTTTGCATGATGGTGTCATCCAGCAAAGGCTGTAAATTGGGGCACATCATGCAACAAAATGATTTATTTACACAAATGATGGGAACCGCTGCAGGGATGCACTTTCATATGTAATGCATACTCTTGAAAAAAAGCCAATACACTCTCTCTCTCTCTCTCTCTCTCTCTCTCTCTCTCTCTCTCTCTCTCTCTCTCTCTCTCTCTCTCTCTCTCTCTCTCTCTCTCTCTTCTAATTGTTCCAACCAGTGTACTGTTAAACAGACAAATACACTGAATAATGTTCACTAGCCTACTTTTGGCAATTAAGGCTTATATATTTGTCTTGGAGGAGCACTTTATACACCTTGGCCTTTGTGAAAGCATAAAGTCACTGAGGCTTTCTTTCATTGACTGGAAATCGACTATGTATAATTATTACGCTACGGCAGGTTAATTACTCTATTTTTTCATTGCTACAGCAATACCAGAAACAACCTGTGAACTGAACAACTGTATAGCTAAAAGCATTAACCAAACTTTAGCTAAAGTAAGTAAGATTTACATAGCTATATATTTGTTGTCATATTTTTTTAGCTTGATGTCATGCTTAGAGCATTAGATTGGGACTGGGAAGACCTAGGTTCAAATCCTCATTCTGTCATTAAATTAATTGGATGCTTTTGAGTTTATTGGTATTGGTCTATATCATCCCATAGGATTGCAATTAAGAGAACGTGGTAAAGTTCAAAAGTTTCTGAACAAAAATAGGCAATAAATGTAATGAATAAGTCATAGCTGTCACATTCCTACAGTATACATTTATTGCAATCCTTTCATATCCACTTATGATAATATATCAGACACAGTGGCTTGTAACCCTCCATTAATTTAAGACATTTTATAGGCATCTGATTCATTGACCTAACTTATGTGGTCAAAGTGACGGAGCACAGAACTGCAGAATGAAAATATCCTGCAGTGTGTGGCAAGAACAAACTCAAGAGGGTTGGTTATATGATTTTTGAAGTAAGTACACTTGGATTCATTGTAGTTTCCTTTAGTTACTTTAATTTTATGAAAGCTTCAAAGACTCTGTAGTGCCACACCCAGAATAAAAATAAAATGGGACTTTCTTCATACAAAGCTAGTATTCATTTCTTCTGGAAGCTAGAGAAACACCTCAAAACTTAATTACAACTTTCTTTCCCAAACGTTTGATACATTGCCAATGCACTTATATTTGCAACAAGAGGTTTTATTTATGTTGCCTCATGGAATCAGGCTATGATTCAAGCAAGATTTCAGTTTTTATATTCTGATCTGAGAATATAGATATTTTACAAACATCTAATCTATTTTTAACATTAATAATATTTTCCACACTAAATTTTCTCACAAGAGAAAATAGAGAAGTAATATATATTTAGGTATCTTTCTTGTTTAAGCAAGTGGATTATTGCAGTGGTAGTCCACCACTGAACTAGTCCATATAACAGAAATACCCTGAAATTGGTAAATGGAATTGATAATTAGAATTAATTAGAATTAAATTTATCCTGATCCAAGGGTAAGAATTTCTGGGTTAAAAATAATCTTTAGGTATTGAGCAAAACATTCTTAGTGCAACGTTGTGAGATCACCTAACTTAGAGATATTTATTCCTATCCAGAAATGCATGGTAAGGTCACATTTGAACCTATGCCTTCTCTGTAGACAACCTATATTTTATCACCATACAATTCTCTCTCTTTCAAGCTCAGCAAAAAAAAAGTGGTAGTAGCAACTTTTTAAGTACCAATTGAGCACCAATTATGACTCTTCATTTGAAATGAAGTATTAGACGACATGCATAATGATTTAAAACTTTCTTTCAGATTAGTGAATTAAAAGATCCTCTGGCTGTATTACAAGAAATCAACAAGAACAGCATAGGACCCATTACACCAGTTGAAGTAGTTTCTTATGTTGAAATGTTATCTGTACCCTTTTCCTTGCTGAGTGTCACAAATTACACAATTTCTGATGAGAGGCTTCGAGATCAAACTCTTAATGTGAGTGAACTGGGATTTAAAGTTTTGGTTACTTACAAGATGTCTTATTCAGGATTACAGTACACAAAGTTAACGTAATATTTTTTATTAACCCAACAGGAATTTGTTAGTAGTGTAAATAATTTTGTTCAGGAAGATAAGAAGGCAGCTTGGGAAGCTGTTCCAGCAGACAACAGAAGAAGAAGCCTTACCAAATTGATGCACGCTGCCGAGGAAACAACAGCCTTGCTATCTCAGAATTTCCCAAAGATGGCAGAAGTAGAAGTTAATGCTAGTGATATGGGTATGCACAGGGAAACCAAAAAAAAAATAATGAAGGTTGTTTGTTCTTCTTCTTGCTTTCTTTATTTGTATCCTTGCAGACAAACTGTTGACGATAGAAGCGGCATCATAAGGTTGTTTGAAATCCAATGGATGTGAACTATTTATTCTTGGTATTTAGAACTGAATGGAAGGCTAGATAACCTCTTGGCTTTGCACATCTAATCCTGACATGTGTTAGGGAGAAGCTTAGATAAACCATTCCATTTACCAGAGATGGATAGACCCCACTCACTTCTTTTCTTCTCTGATTAATGGTCCCATTTCTCAAGGCGGACAGCCTTTGGCTCCTGGATCACATGAAAGTCTTCAAACTCCCACAATGAGAGAAACAGATCCCCAAGCAGCCTATGAATTTGTTTCATTACTGTCTCTTAACTTAACACACAAGGGGTATACAGGTAGTCCTTGACTTACAACCACAATTGAGCCCAAAATTTCTGTTGCTAAGTGAAACATTTTAAAGTGGATTTTCCCCCATTTTATGATCTTTTTTTGGGCCACAGGTGTTTAGCGAAACACTGCAGTTGTTAAGTTAGTAACACAGTTGTTAAGTAAATCTGGTTTCTCCATTGACTTTGCTTGTCAGAAGGTTGCAGAAGCTGATCACAGGACTCCAAGGCACAGTGCAAATGTCATAAATATGAACCACCTGTCAAGAATCTAAATTTGGATCATGTGGCCAAGGGGATGCTGCAACGGTCATAAGTGTGAAAAATGGTCATAGGTCATGACATTTTTCAGTGCCATTGTAACTTTGAACGGTCACTAAATGAGCTGTTGTATGTTGAGGACTACCTGTAGTTCTTTCAACTGGCTAAATGCATGAATCAGAATAGGGGGGGAAAGCCTACTCTTTCCTGACTTTCAGACCATCTGTATGCTTCTGAAAATATCCCTCAACATCTTTAGGAAAAAGGAGAACTGTTTTTTAAAGCCTTTAATGACAGCCTGCATATTGAAAACCATCGTTCTTTCAAAATAAATAACTAAACAAAAATTCTGCATAAGAAGGAGCATGCAGCTCCGTAATTCCAGCCTATCAGTCAAACGTTTGTTTTGTTTATAACAAAATTGCTCATTGACTTTTCCATTGTTTTAAAGCACTGGACTGGACTGAAATGTAAAGCTAAAAGATTTCACGTACTACTTTCTCATCTCTACACTGTGGTGGGGGATGGGGGTTGATATTGGGACTATTTGTTTTTGACAACAAATATCATTATAGTCGAATGCAGTTGAATTGAATGCCTTTATCTTCACCTAAATGCACACTGAATGGATTGCAAAATAAATACTTTCAAAGGTATTGCTCCTGTGCTTTTAAAGAAATTGGTATTCACTTTCAGGAATACATTTTTAATAAAGTGGAAGCTCTTCTGAAAGTAGCTTTCATTATTCTTTACCAAACTTCACTTAATGCAAAGCAAATTAGAGGTTACACTTCCCCCCCTCCCCAGGCAAAGAATGAAAAGGTACAAATATGGAATTAAAGGACATCCACCTACAGTACTATGAATAAAATGGTCCTAGAGTTTAAAGTACATGAGCAAAATGGTAAAGGGTTATGGATGGGTGTTAGGGATGGGGAAAAGGGGGCAAAGGATGAATTATATATGTCATGCTAATGCATTATGCATTAATATAAATGTGTAATATTAATACTGACATATTAATTTATGTACTTGAAAATTGGATACAAGCACATAATAGGATCATGTGCATAATAGGATCACTACACATGTGCTGTTATTTTGGCACCAATGCGCTTTGCTGTGGAGTTACTGGATTGAGGGGTAGGGGTTTTTTTTGAAAGATTAATAACAACATCGTGCTTTTCAAAGCTGTAATAACTGTACAGCCCAGTGTACAAGTAGTAGCCGACTTACAATATTTCATTTAGTGTCCCTTCAAAGTTACAGCCACTCTGAAAAAAAGTGATTTATGGCTTCAACATGGCCATTGAAGCATCCCCATGGTCACATGATCAAAGTTCAGATGCTTGGCAACTGACTCATATATATGAAAGTTGCAGTGTCCCGGATCTTCCTTTTTGACCTTCTGACAAGCAATGTCAACGGGGAAGTCAGATTCACTTAACAACTGTGTTACTAACTTGACAACGGCAGTGATTCATTTAACAACTGTGGCAAGAAAGGTCATAAAACAGGGCAAAATTCACTTAACCACTTCTTGCTTGGGCTCCATTGTTGTTGTATGTCGAGATCTGCCTATAATTGTTCTTGCAGAACTTTATATTAAGTTAGTCTTCAGTGTAATTGTTACTTGAAAAGTCATTGTTCCCCTTTTTCTTTTTCAGCTGTAAGACTTTATACTTTTGACACAGAGAAGGTGAACCTCATCAACCAAAATACTCAGATGGGAGCAGACAGCATTAAGGTCTCTGCAAAGAAAAATGAAATATCTTCTGCTAAAGGTTAGGATGGTGGTTTGGGGTTGTTGATACAATAGTTGGACTCAGTGGAAAATCCTCCCTTTTTCTAAGATTCATCAGCCACTTGCAGTATGAAAAAAAATCCAATATAAAGTTAAGTAGAAAAAAAATCTGATGCCATTCTGGGATTTTCATTCTCACACGAATAAATCTTCATAAGTATTTTATGATCCGTAGCATACATTGACTGATAATGAACTTGTGAAAACTACATTTGCCTATAAGGAAACCTTTTTCTTAGGTTTCAGGGGAGCAATCACCTGCAAGCAGTCCCCTGTCTCCCATGAATCCCAAGCAGAATCACTGAAATAGTGTAGAGCAGTGTTTCTCAACCTTGGCAGGTTAGAGATGGGTAGACTTCAATTCCCAAAAGTCTCCAGCCAGCTTCTGGGAGTTGAAGTCCACCCATCATAAGGCTGCCAAGCTTTAAGCCATCTTAAAGCCATCAAGCTTTGCTGGCTGGGGAATTCTGGGAGTTGAAGTCCACCTATCTTAAAGCCATCAAGGTTGAGAAACACCGGTGTAGAAGAAATTCTCCATCATTTTGGTCATGGTTTCAGTCACTAGTTTCTCATTGATCCCCTTCCCATCCCTCAAATCCTACTTAGAGTAGCTGAAGAGAAAGCAGGTTTTAATACTCAAGTGATACATGGGCAGCATATCTTGGGCTGAAATTCTAAAGGATAACTAAGCCTTAAACCACGGGTCTTCAAACTTGGCCCTTTTATGACTTGTGGACTTCAACTCCCAGAATTCCTCAGCCAGCATAAAAGTCATAAAAGGGCCAAGTTTGAAGACCCCTGCCTTAAAGGGATGGGAGAAGCTGGTAAATGAAATACTGAAATCACAAGCACAAACTCCTTGGGGAAAAGGGGGGAATAAGGGAAGCACAGTGTCAAAAAATAAAATGGAAATGGAATAGAAAATGGAAACAGGGATTAATAATTAAGGAGGAACACAAACTGCTAGTGCAAGGTTGTAAGGGTACACTCAGGAAGGCTAAAACTCAGAATGAGAAGAAGGTGTGGAAAGTGAAATTGCCTGGTATCTTATTAGTCTTCTCTCAGAATAAAGAGTTCCTAATAAAATTGAGGCAAACAGGGAAGAAATAGATCCCTATAAAAACTGCTAAAGGAGTTGGATGTGTTTAGCTCTCAAAAGAAAAAAGGAGAGATAAAACACAAGTCTACATACTGTATATATCAAAGGTTATCATATTGAAAAGGGAGATTGAGCTGCTATCTGTTGAGGCTGAAAGCATGACAAAGAACAACAAGTTAAAATTAAGAGATGGATGGATGGATGGATGGATGGATGATGGACAATCTGAATATTTTTTTAAAAATCAAAATTCTAAAAGTAAGAAAAATAAGCAGCCTGCCTAGAACAATGGTAGAATCTCTTTCACTGGAGCTTTTCACATGGAATCTTCAAAGTCTTCCTGATTTGATGGGTTCCTGCATTCATATGAGAGATGGACTGGATACTCTATAAGGTTCCTTCCCATTTTTAATGTGTATAGTTTTCTGAAAGCAGGCAGAAAAGGAGATTTGTGAAAGTGCATTGTTGGTGAGAAAAAGGAGGGGATGTAAAAGAGAGAAGTCTAACAGGAGCTGGGCAATCTGAGTCTTCAGGGACAGATATTTGCTCATGTAGGATATTTAATATACCAATATATAAGGTACTTTCCATCCCTTAAGTAAGTCACTTATTCCCATAAAAAAGAGATATCATTTTGCACAAAGTGATAGAGTAGTACATGGTCTGGGGTGTATCATGCCCCTTGAATCTAACCACAGGACTATAATCCCACAAGTACATTATATTTTTAACTGTACACTGGGGGATTGTTAATATTGCTCCTTTTTCAAATTTTGTTTTGTTTTTGTTTTACTTGAAATTGATAGTTTAAAAGTTTTTTTTCCCCCAGTAGGATGGACCTTTAATTTAGGAGGTCTTGTTAATGCAGTCCGCAAAGTATTCTTTTTCCTATTTTAAAATAAATTGGAATGGAGTAGGAGGAATGCCAAAGAAATTAAACCTAAAGTTTACATTTTGACTATGTCACATATCTTTTACATTACACATGATTCATGGACTTAATTACAATGAGATAAAAAGTTTCTGCATCCCTTGATGGACAATTAGAGTTTTCATTTTATGTGATCCTAGACAAAATGTAGCTAGCTTACAAGCCAGTGTCAAACTCTGATTTCTGAGTTTGCTTGCCTAATCACAGTTTGTGGTTCAGAGAAAATGTGATTAATTGAAAATGGAAGCAAATATTTTTGATGCCATTCTTGCAGCTATGCCAAAGTATCAGAGTCTGCTTATGAGTTACATCTGAACTCTATGTATGAGCTGATCCCGAAATTAGCCTTCTATTGATTGCTCCTTCTCCATACTGTACACAATATTTAATGTGACTTTCTATCTCAGCAGGAGCACCAAACATAAATGCTTTCAGAGCTTAGTGTTGATCATAACAATAGGGGGAGGCAAGATTCTTGGCAAGGTATAAATGTGTTTGGATATACTGTATTTAAGTTTAAATGACGAGAAGTAAGGAATCCAAATTACTGGATTTTAAAAGCATTTGCTGAGGTTTCTTACATTTCATAATCATTTTGATCACCCTTCTGTCATTACCATTTCCAAGCAAAGCCACTTGCTAGGAAAAGATATTCAGTAGGTCTCAGTGGTGGGATTCAGCCAGTTCGCACCACTTCAGCAGAACCAGTAGCTAATTTTTTGTTGCCCAGGCCCAGAATGGACTTCCGGAAGCGGCATCCACACAGAGAACCACTTGTTCACATATTTGAATCCCACCACTGGTAGGTCTACATTCAGAATGTTGTCCAGTTTATAAGAGCTACACTGCTTGGAGAATTATATGAGCAGGGGATGTGTAAGGGCATTTAAAAAAGACAATGGCAGTCATGACTACATGATCAAAATCTTGAACCTTTTTTTTTTTTTTTACTTTAACCTTTTGGTTGATGCATCTAAAAATGAGGTGGAGATTCACTTGCATAGTTGCAGTGGCTAATGTGGACACCCCTTTGTCTGGGATTGGAAATTAATCCCCTGATGCTTAGAATTTAACAGTCTCTTAAATTGTACAGTCGGAAGATTTACCTTCCCAAAATATGGACAATATTCATGGATTGAATTTTTTTTATCATTAAATTTAATTTCTAATATTGGCGCAGCCCTTACTGCTTTCAAAAGCAAATATTTCCCCTGTTTCTTTAGTCTTTCCATAGGTGTTCTGCAAAGTTTCCATTGATTTGATATTCTTGTAAGAGTTTTACAAAGATCTTTTGATCACTGTTTCCTTGGTGTTTTTTAAACATTGTTTTACTATTTCTATTTTTTAAAAAACCCAACAATTCTCAAACACTAACCATGTTTTATTTGATGGATAGGCACAGTTGCAGTTGTGTTTCTGCGATACGACAATATTGGAGCTCTGCTTTCATTACCACAGAACTTGTCCCTGACAGAAAATACAGAGGATGGAGAAATAGTAGGTTCATCAGTTATAGCTGTTGCAATTAGGTCCACTCCACCTGGGCTATATTCAGCTGAGAACATAATATTTACTTTAAAACATGCACAGGTAAGCTTTCTTTTTAAATTGTCTCTCACTTAAGACTGTAATTATTCTGTTGTGTGTTGCAAGGGCTGCTTTGGCAGTATCCTTATAACTCTGTTGTTTAGCCAATATGGCACAATATAATTAGAAGGGAAATTACAACGTTGAATTTAGCACAGCAAGGGCAAGGCAGGGAGTACGTAGCAATAGGTAGCTACTGAAAAGTGTGGCTAGAAATTGACAAGAATAATGAATGCATGGAAGTCTTATTACATATTTGTCAACAATGTGCAAGTGCAATCCACGTTTTTTCCCTTGTTGGAGATTAAAGTGTATATCAGTGTTTGTGAAAAAGAGAACAGCACCCAAGAAAGAATTAAGTACATTTTGTAAGTGTAAAAGAACGATTCATTTATAGAAAATGCATTATAGGAATAAGTAAAGTGTAGATGGTTAGTTCCTACCATATACCCAGGAAAAAAGGAAAAAAAGAAATATTTCAGATTAGAAATCTCTTAGACAAGCAGTAATAGGTGAAGTAAACCCCTTAACATTCTACTAATGCCCTACTGCCCCCTGATGATCAGTAGATTATGAGGTCCTAAAGGGTCAATGCCAATAGGTTTGTACTTCCAACTCTCAATTCTGAGCATTTTCCACTTGCAAAGTGTGAGGCTGTTGATTTCCTTATATTACTTAGCAAAGTACAGCAAACACAAAGAATAAAATTTAACAGGGCATCTAAGTGAATAGTGCCACTGTTTCTTATATCCATCAGCAATCACAGTGACAGTTTTACAGAATAGCTGTTTAAGTCTGGATATTTCATTTTGGATTACTTGCCATTATACAGTGATAGTACATAGCAGCTGAGAGCTACAGAATGATAAATGTGGATTGAAAAGGCGACAATTCTAATCCACACATAGCCGTAAAACCCACTAAATGGCAATAGCAATAGCACTTAGACTTATATACCTTGCAGCCCTCCCTAAGCGGTTCACAGAGTCAGCATATTGCTCCCAACAATCTGGGTTCTCATTTTACCGACCTCAGAAGGCTGGAAGGCTGAGTCAACCTTGAGCTGGTGAGATTCGAACTGCTGAACTACTGATAGCCAGCAGCCAGCAGAAATAGTTTGCAGTACTGCATTCTAACCACTGTGCCACAGCTCATATAAATATTCTTGGAAAGTAAGTGCTTCTTGATTTAGGCACTCTCATGAATGTCAAGGACCTATTGTGAATTATTTGGAGGAGGTACAGGGTATAATAACAACAACAACATCCCATGTGTGAACTTTGGAGGTAGAATAAGGGAGAAGGGATGGTAGAAGGACATTTTTTTAAAAAAATAGAGGCATTTTTCATAAATGTTAGAAGTTCAAGATTGAAAGCAAGTCAAATATATCCAACAGAAAATGAAGTATGTATACTACCTTGGCAAAATTAGGGCTACAAGGTGCAAGCAAAGAATAATATACTGATTTTGGATAGCTAAAAAAAATGAGACAGCAATCAATTTTTAAAAAAAGCTAACTGTGATTCCTTATGGATTGTCCAATAACATAAAATGCAACTAGCATCCTGGCCCAGGCACTAAAGGAAAAGCCAGATTTTTAAGACCTGCCAAATTTCAGGAGTGAGGTTGTTTGTTAGAAGAGGCTCACACAATATGTATGCCGTTTATCATTCTTAACACATTTTGTTTCTGCTCCAGACTGTAGGCAAAAAGGACGTTAAATGTGTATTTTGGAATTATTCAGAAGACACGATGGAAGGGAAGTGGGCCACAGAAGGGTGTGAGAAGACCCACTCCAGTAGCACACATACCTCATGCAGATGTAACCATCTTACTCATTTTGCAGTCTTAATGTCTTCAAATGGCTCTAAAGTTGTAAGTGTTGTTTTTTTTAATTTAAAGACTAATTTTCTAATTAGTCTTTTCTATTTTGGGGTCATAAACCCCATGTATAAGGTATATTTTCTGCAAACAGAAAATATACCTTATTTTCTCCTCCACCACTTCCTTCTTCAGGATTAGATATTTCTGTGGCTAGGTTGACCCTGAACATCACATTCTTAAAATCTCTAGATATCCACTGATACAATGCAGTCCCTTTTCTATCTTGCTTTCTATGCTGGAGGGTTGTTTGCTGCTCATTTTCCATGGCTTATCATGGAACACCTCATTTTTTTTAACTGGCTAGCTGTTCATTTACTTTTTGATGTGTCTTCATTAAAAAAAAATGGGCCGCCTTATGCTTTAAAAAATCTGAACTCGAAATGAATCTTCCATTTCAAAAGCTATCCCTGTCTATACTTAGTTGGAAGAAAGATCCAATGGAAATGAGAGACCTATACGAGCTATGAGTCCATGCACTATGTTTCACAGACAATAGAAATTGTGACAGTTGCATGCCAAAGTTCCAGCATCCCTGGTAAAATTGCATGGATCAATGAAGTCTCTTTGACAGTCTGACTCGCAGTGTGACAAAGAGCATTATATTTATCTACAGTTTAACCTATCCTCCTGCAATCGCTACCTTGTTTTCCAGCTGCCCCACTGATCAGTTCTCTGTGAAGTGAAAGAGAATTGATTGGTGTCCAAACTTTTTTTTTCTTTTCCCTTGCCAAACTTATTCTGGGCGAGAACTGTGGGTTTCATTAAAAACACTTTTCTACACTTCTTTGTCTGTGTACTTTATCTCAGAAAGCCATTAGAAAGACCCTCATTTGTCCTTCATCATTTTTAATATTCACAGTGTGTGCTCACTCCAGAGGTTTAGAATGAAGAACACACAGAAGTTTCACACTTTTCACACTTTGGAGATGGCATTTCAAAAATTAGATTTCGCAGCGCTGACCTAGAGTTATGCTAATAAATTACATGAAAAGTAACTAAAGTATGTGTTTCAGTTTTCTTCATATGCATATCCATTTCCATGCCAACATTCTTCATTATAACTTTAGAATATCTTTTTTTATTTATGAATGACATGGAAACATTCAGAAATGTACAAAGATTATTTTGATATTCAGAAAGGGTACAATTGACATTAAGATGAAACCCACACTAATTTCTCCCTCCTCTGTGCCAGTCACTTTCAATAATTTGAATAATAACAAAAAAGAGAGAGAGAAAAGGAACAGAAACAAGGAAAGGGAAGGGAAACAGTCATCTGCAACCAAGACTGAAATGGATAATCAAGACTAAAAGTAAACATTCTAGGCAAGAGATTTTTATTCATTTACTGTATTTCTGAAACCAGGAAAAATCCATAAAATGATGGAGCAGGTGCATCTGCCCTTTACATGCTATAGCACACACACACACACACACACACACACACACACACAATGTGGAAAATTTTTGGAAAAAGAACAAAAATAAAGTTTAATTCAAATGTTCATATAGACTATTATTTTCTTTTTTTTTCAATCCCAGGAAACTAAGGATTATATTCTTACAAGAATCACTCAGCTTGGAATAATTATCTCATTGATTTGTCTCGCCATGTGCATTTTCACCTTCTGGTTCTTCAGTGAAATCCAAAGTACGAGAACAACAATCCATAAAAATCTCTGTTGCAGCCTTTTCCTGGCAGAGTTTATTTTTTTGATCGGAATTAACATGAACACTAATAAGGTGAGTATTATTTCTTATGCCGAAAATGGTACCTCAAAGTAGCCATTTTCAAAGGTGTGTGCCCTAATGGGCCTTTGTGGAACTATGTGATGTCATTTGCCTTGTATGTCATCACACAGATTGCATCATTTTTCTCATTTATGCCATGATGTACAGGTGTGCATATAACAGACACTACCTGTATGGTATCGCCCAGTCTTAAGGTAAATATTGGCATTTGACATTATTATACCACTAGAGGGGTTTTAAAATTCTCATCCAACAGTTCCAGCCAATTCAGTTCAGTTCAGAGTATATAAACTCCATTGAATAGTTCTTCTGCCTGTGGACTTCATGGCAAATTGAGACTTTCGTTAATGAAAGTGGAGGCAGACTCTTAATTGTTTAGACTGGCACTGTTCCAATATCAGCAGGAGTTCTGCCAATTTGTTTTATTGGTTGCTTTATTTTTAATCAGTATAGAAAAATGTTGCTGTAAGGAAAGCAAGAGAAATCTAAATCTATCTCATGGAAGGGAGAATACATTAGCCTGCAGTTTGCATAGTCTGATGTGTCAGGGTGAATATTTCAAGCTAGAAATTTTACATGGGCAAAACAAGCATATATGTTGCTTCAGTTTTCAAATGACATTGGTCCAAGTATTTCCTTATACATTCAGATGAATGATGACACGGCCTTAATGGTCTTGTATTGAGACAAAATATCGGAAATACCGGTGCTTCCTCTGTACAGGAAGAAAGTTTTAACTTGCATTGCAATAAATGTACTATTTTATATTAGTCACTTATACTGTTCCTTTTTTCCCCTTCTAGCTATTCTGTTCCATCACTGCTGGACTGCTCCATTACTTCCTCCTAGCGGCTTTTGCATGGATGTGTATCGAAGGCATTCACTTGTATCTTATAGTTGTTGGAGTAATCTACAATAAAGGATTCTTACACAAGAATTTCTATATTTTTGGCTATGTAAGCCCAGCAGTGGTGGTTGGCATTTCTGCTGCACTGGGATATAAATACTATGGAACAACTGATGTGTAAGTTACTATTTACATTAGATACTTCAAATATAGTCCAAATACAGTCTGTCAGGATGCAATGGCACAACCATGCTTTGGCTATGATATTCTCTTTGTCAATATTTTTAACAAATCTAGTCATTTGACACTGACAGCTTTGAAATATCATTAACACTTTTGACTTCAGTACTCCTCATTTAAGAATGAGTAGAAGACCCAATAAGGGATCGGTGTTCCTGTGCTGACCATCCTCATTGTGTCTCGAGTGCACTTGATCTTTGACTAAATAGCAGAAACATTTGTATGATCCTTGATAGTGAGGGAAGAGATTTAGCCTCATTTACATATCTACCTGTGCTTCAATGTATAGACACTTTATTCCAAAGTTCTGTCTCCTCTGTTGAATTGGATAAAACCCAGTATAGCAATTCAGGGCGAAACTGTCATCTGTAACCAAGTCTAAATGAGATAATCAAGACTGAATGTTTACATTCTAGGCCAGACATGTCAAACACAAGGCCTGGGGGCCGGATGCGGCCCGCGAAGTGGTTTCATGTGGCCCATGAAGCCATCCTGGAAACAGTGAGGGAATGGCCCCCGCTGCCTTGGCCCTGGCCCAGGCCAGCCGGGAGCCAATCTACAATTTTGTGGTGGCCATCTATGCTGAAACGTATTCAGTCTTAGCTCCACAAGGCCGTCTGGAAATGGCTTGGTGCTGCAGGTGCTCAAGAGCCAGGCTGGGTGTTTGACCTCTGCTGCCCAGGGCTCCGGGCAGCCTGCGCCACCATCCAGCCTGCCCCGCATGGCCTGAGAGGAACAGTGAGGCTCCTTCAGTGGACCATGCCTTGGCACTTGCCTGGTCCCACCCTCTTCTGCCAGAGACCCTCAGATCTGTCCCACTCTTGCCCAGGCCCCCATAGGCATCCTTGACATGAACGATGTAGAGCTGGCCACGCCCACCCAGTAGGCCGCATTCACCCTGGCCACACCTACCCAGCCCCCGAGGGCAACCGCAGTACTGATGCAGCCCTCAATGAAATTGAGTTTGACACCCCTGTTCTAAGCAAGACATTTTTATGTATTTATTTCTGAAGCAAGAGAAAATCAAATGATCAAATTTAGTGGTCTCATCTATAAAGGTTTCTCCATTCATTTCCCTGGAAGAAGACAACTCTTAGCAGCCCTGGTTTATTATTATATGCTGTATATCTATTTCCCAAGCTTTTTTCTTATTATAGATTGCTTATTACATTTTCTGATGTATAGTAACTTACTTTCTCTCTCCTCCTTTCTCTTTTCTTTTATACAAGCTACCGCAAAACTAATTTCAATGCTATTTCAACATTTAAATATTGGATTTTCAAGAAAAAAATATCTCCCTATTATGTAAAGATGTAGGTTTGTTCCCTTATCTTTTTTCCAATTTGAATAATTTCATTCTGGCATGACTTTATCTGTTTTCTTTGTAACCTGCCCAAACAGGGTTGGCAACATCGTATTCCTGCACCTGAAGGCAGGCAACAATTAGAAACTAGCAATCAGGCATTGATAAAATTTGGCCAAATTATCTCCTTTCAAATAAAAAAAAATTTGCCTCAAATTTCATTCAAATTATTCTGAAAAGGCAGCTCTGTCACTCTCAGGGATGGAGAATTCTGGGGCCTTTTCCATATTTTGTATCCATTTCTGTTCATTACTATCTGTTCAATGACTCCTTTTTCCTCATCTCATTCTTCTTTAAGGCAAGACTATATCCTCTAACCAAGAATAAGACCTATCCAAGATGGTCCAATTATGTGTCAGCCATTTATTTGTTTATTAGATTTTTATCCCACCTTTAATACTTTACAGGTAATTTAAGGCAGTGAACACACCTAATACTTCTTCATCCTCCTATTTTTCCCACAACAACTATGAGGTGGTTGGGCTAAGAGAGAATCACTGGCCCAAGATCACCCAACCTGTTTTCATGTCTAAGTCAAAACTAGAACTCACAGTTACCTGGCTTCTAGGCCAGTACCTAAATCAGACAGAAAACTGGCTATTGTCATGTCATATCACCATGGAAGTAACACAATGCTCCTTGTCTAGGTACCTCCCATAGCCTTTCTCCCTTATCATCTCTTTCCTCAGTTCTAGAATTTGGAGGATACAATGTCTTTCTCCAAAGCTTTTTCTGACCTATCCAGTAGCTGATTGCCTGACCAGGGATTCAAACAATGTGAAGTGAAGTAACATGGCTGATTCACTTCCCTTTTTAAATTAGTGTACAATGCTTTGCTAAACAGGTTTGAAAGTACGCTTCTCCCAAACCTCTCTGGAAATGAAGCATGACTTCAAAACACTGTACACATCTACAAAAAAATGGGTAGCCTATAGTCCTAAGAACAATGCATTCAATAACTTTTGTCTAGAAATAAGAATACCAAAGCAAGATATTTTGCTTCAGCTATCAATACCAGGCCAAGATGGTTTAATCTGTAAATGTAGTTCAAAATATTTTGTCCTACTTACCTTACAGATGTTGGCTCAGCACAAAGAATAACTTTATATGGAGTTTTATAGGACCAGCATGTCTAATAATCCTTGTAAGTATGCTTTTCTTCCCATATTTATTTTTTTAAAAAAGTGGTATACATAAAATAGTAATAATAGGTGTGCAATCATTGCTTACCCATTGATAGCCCATCTGTGAGTGCTTAAATATGGCAAAATGAACTGTTTTAAAGGCTTTTATATAACTGGCTCTAAAATATATTTACCTCTTGTACGTCTAAGTGCTTTGCCTGTCTCAAAAACATATGTTTGATTAACTAATATTTCAGTTGGGGATTTGTTTCTTCTAACCCGATGGCTGGAGGGAACAGAATTCTCTATAGCAATTCAGTTGTGTAAGATGTAGCATCTTTACATGTCAGTTGTATCTTGGCAGAACTCAGCAGGAGAGGTATACAGACATGATGCCAGGAGACAGATAATCTGGTATTTCAAATGCTGAGTTACTTAATCTTTTATCTGTGATCGGTCATCTTTGAAGATTAGGCTGTCATCTTTTTGATTTTTTTCATTCTCATGTACCCTGCCATCATCAAGGCTATTTTAAACAAAATTGCCACATCAGAGACAAGAACCTGCTATTTCACACAGACAGGCAAGTTGAGAGTTGATAGCCTATATTTCAGATGGAAGGAGACTTTTTAATTCCTCTTGGAATTGTTTTCAGACTTGATCGTTTGGAAATATTTGATGTTTTCAAAGGAAGTTAAACATGTAAGACCTAATTTAGATCAAGTAAGAAATGTTGGACTGTTAGGTCAATGATATAAATAACTCCTGGTCCTTATTTGCTGATAAAATTTATTTCATTTAAAATTTATTTGCACATTAGCATGAAATACAGTAAGCATAAATCTATTACCAGTTTGGTACTGAAAAATGTAAGAATGAAAACAATCTGTTTCAGTTATGAAACTGTAGTAAAGCAGATAAAGTGGTTTATCCTGATCTAGATCATTCCAAATTGCACACACTCATAACTTTTACTCAGGCGCTGTTATAAACGTACCAGCAATAACATTCTTTTCAATCAATTTGGTGTGGTTATAAAGGGAGATTTAAGGTTTAAGCATGGGCTATAAATAACTATTCCAAATGACCTCATTTAGATGAAGGCCTTAAAGCAATACTACCCCCCTGCTTTTTCCAGGTGTCTAGGTGACCATGATCTGAATAAAGCACAGATCCCACTAATCCCACTGACCAATGGATTTATATTCAAGGATGCAGATTAAAAAGAGGCTGATGTGTTTTCCATTTGGAGCTGAGCTCCATGTATTTTCATACAAGTCCATGAACAAGTCTATTCTAGCCACATTATCCAAATGTTTAAGTTTTATTCCAATACATTCCATGACCTTTTTCATTTCTAGGGGTTGCTTTTGCTAAGAAGCTACTGAAAAAGGGAGATTTTTGCAATGTTGGAAAGAATATGAAAGAAGATTTCAGTGGGTCTTAAAACTGATACTTTGTAAGAATGTATTTTCCCTTGGTTGAATAAGTTGCAGGTTTCTCTTCACAGTTTTCCCAAATGTGCTGCAGAGCCAATTGGCATTTGTAAGGCATTGTCTTGTATACAGCCATCTTTTAAAGAAAAATGCATTTTTTTAGTTGCAGTTTTGCTGTATATTGGAGAATAGAACTAATCTGTCTGGTTTAACAACATAGCCAATCTATCTGACTTTTCAATGTGGCATTGCTGTTTTCAGCATTGGAATGGTAGAAAACTATTGCTCAGCTAATACAATATTCCACAACCAGGAAGAATGTTCACAAATATAGAAATAATCTTAACAACAGCGATACATGTGAACGATCTAGAGGAAATACTCATATAAATTTGATATGACCTTTCTACTAACTGTTTTGATATGACCTTTCTACTGAGCTGCAACCTAATGTAAAGAAGGTAATAATTTCATAAACATTTCTAGTCAGGTCACCTATGCCTAAAGGGGAATATGATTTTTTCCCATTGAGAGGAATATGCCCATCATGTAATCAAAAATGCTTTTATAGAAGAATCTGACAATATGGCATAGTGATGTAATAGTTGAGAAACATCCTGATTTTTATTAGGATGGTGGAAAAAGCACTAAATACCTGGAATCCATAATATTTTAAATAAGCCTTTGAGTGGGGGAGGGGGTTGTTGCTAGGCTTTTTCTAGATAGTTCTTTATAAGTAAAAAGGGAATAGATAGGGGATAATTTGATGAGTTAGAGTATATCATAATATGCCTTGGAGGTTTCACATACCTTATTAAGTTTATAGTGACCCTACAGATTTGCAAGTGTTACTTACAATATCACACTTTGTTTTAAGCAGATGAAGCATTTTTAATATTACAGATCTGGTTTTAAAAAGAGACTCATTTCAACGTTCATCAGTATACAGTACACTTGTTCCCTTCCAAGTGTTTAAACAGTGCTCACTTTTCTGAAATATTTATTCATTAATGCCTGAAGTACTATTAGAATTCTGAAGTATATGCCTGTGGCATAATTGATCCTATCAACATTTTAATTATTATTATTTTCTTGATGAGAAAACATTAAAAAAAACACTTCGGGTCAGCATGAGCGTGCAAAGAGGAAGGAGTACTTAAACCTTTGTAAAACAAGCTGCATGCCAAAGATAATTTCGTCAACTTGCTTCTCTTTGCAGCCTTTAAAACCACCACCAACAATTCTGAGACTATATTTAAGATCAGATTAAAGCTTGACTGGGTAGAAAGTTTGCAGCTGTAATAAAATTTTAAAATAAAATAATGACTTTGACATGAGCTTTCAGGAAATAGAGAAAAGCTGCTTGCAGAAAGGGTTGAAAGTAATTATGGCTACAAGCGATATAAAAGGTTAAGCTAAGCCTGCTAACTTCTGTGCTGTGATACAGTATTCAAACACTGTAACCACTCCTGAACAGAAAAGAGACTGGCAAAGCAATCCTACATGAAAGGATATTTATGAAGCACCGGGAAGTCAGAAGTTCTGCAATATTTACAGTACCTCCTCCCAGGCTGCTGTCAGGAGGGTGGAAATGAAAGCTTCCATGAAATCACTGGGAGACAATATATCTATAGTCATTAGAAATAATGCCAGGGGCCCAAGAATTGCTTAGTTCCAGCAGATCCAGTCTTTCTTCTCTAAAACATTGGTACCTAACCTTTTTCAATATTAAACTCAATTTACCAACGTTGGGAAAAAATTAAATAGACAGATGATCAGCAAGATGGAAAGCATTCTTAGGTCAGATTTCTTTGGAACAGAAATTGTCCAGGAGAAGGGTATGGCCTCAACCTCTCTTAGAAAGGTCACTTGAACCTAGTTTTTCCAACAAGACCTGGGGACCGAAATATGATGAAGTATTCCCTCTTATAATGAGATATTTTGTTTTTGAATTGAGTCAGTTTATGGTACCTGGTATGGAACTGGGAGTTAACTGAGAGTTAATTTGAGAGAGATTTTTATGTGTAATTTTTAACCTTTATTTAGGGAATACAGTATATCAAGCTGCTCAGCGTGAGTGATAACTGGAAGTGCATATAAGCTAGTAAGAAAGTAAACAAATCCCTCTCTATATCTCTAGCCAAGAGTGAAGAAATCATATATGTCTCAGTAGCCATCCCAGTATTACAACTAAAATTTTGTACACCATTTATCATAAAGCAAGAACAGATCTTACTTGTGTGAGGGTGTCCTCCCACAATTATTAAGGAATGGGAAATTTTGACAAGTCTATGTAAATTGATTATACCCAGTAGTCCAGCTGCAGAGAAGAATATCTGATTGCACATAAGCTTTTCATTTTAGATCCCCAAATACCTCTCAAAATACAGTCAGAGTCCTCAGTGATTTTCTAGTGCTTCTTTCAGACAGTGAAAAAAGAAGAAAGCAAAGACTATCACTCTAAACTATAAATCTATGCAAACTATAAATCTATATCCATTTAAGCTAATACTATATATATTCAGTTATTAATCCATTGTATAGAAATTCTTGATTATTCTATTTACAAAGATAAATAACTACTAGAGAACATTTTACCGAGGCTGCCATAGGCGGTGCCATCTTGAGGCGGATCCTGGACATAAAAACTCCTCCCCTCAGACGTCACTAGAGGGCATTGCATGCCGAAACAACTAGACACAAAGACAGGGGGTTTTTTCCCATGCCACCACTCTGCTAAACACCTAATTTCCACAACACTTGTCTTATACCTAAGGATATTTATCCATATAGTAGGGCTGTATTGCTATTGTTCTTCTCATCTTTCCTATTATCTTCTCCTATTGGTATCTTATGATTTATCTCTTTGTTGTTTGTATCTTGTGATTTATTATTGTACTTTATGATTTATGGTATATCACGTTGTTGTTTGTATATACACTGAGAGCTTATGCACCAGAGACAAATTCTTTGTGTGTCCAATCACACTTGACCAATATAAATAAATATAAATACCCAAATCCTCATGTGATAAATGTACAGCTTTCCCTAACAATATGCATTTTGTTCTAATTTTGTCTGCAAATTTCCCTCACATATACATTTCAGTCTGCAACTTTCCCCAGAGGTGGATTTCCTGAAGATGGGCTTTTTTTTTTTTCTCATCAGGTTTGAGTGCGGATTTAGATCACTAAAATTTAAAAGGATGCATGTGTTGTTATAAGATTGTTCTTTCCTGCTTAGCCTTCTCTCTCGTCTCTGCCATCAACACTTCTTCCTGTTGTTGTTCTTAAACATTTTCCAGTTGTGTCAAACTAGAACAAATAGCTAAAGCATTTGGGCAGGTGTATCCACCTGGGAGATGATAATGAGACAAATAAGACAGCAGACATACTTTTCTTTGTTGATTGACAGCTTGCGGGCAATTTCAGGCAATTAATATGGCATACATTTTTATTGACTGACTTAAACCATTGCATAGTTATCAGTTTAACTATCTTCTACCCTGATGGAAGCAGGCCTGAAGCAGCCTCATTTCACTAGCCATTAGCCAGAAGACAAAAATCTTTCTCTTTTCACGCTAG